TTAAGAATGTGTTATGGATTATATTATTATGCACGGCTAAGTATTGTTCAAGATTATCGAGGCAGCTGTAGCTGACTTTAACGTTGTCCTTTGTAAATGTTTTCTCAGTAAGGGAATATGACTGAAACGCTTGCGTACTAAGCTGAGAAAAGTTCTACCTATATTAGTGCTAACGATACTGTCGAAGGGTGGGTTGAACCATGTAATGTTGCGCTTTCTATTCTTCGATTTATCATAGTAATTGTTACTGGTGTCGAGGATGTACTTTAGGTCGACGTTGTGTTTGCTTTTATGTAATGCTTCTACCTATTTGAGTTTGTATGTTGAAGATGTGTTTATTACTGGAGTTTTTAGATAGTCTGTATTTTACAGATTCGTGGAGATTGTTTAGAATACACAGAGAATGGTTGGATTATCTTATCTCATTATAAAACGCAGATTGTGTGTGTGTTGTGTGTGTGTGTGTGTGTGTGTGTGTGTGCGTGTGTGTGTGTCTGTACGTTTATATATTGGATCAGATTTCCTACATTTTTCAACCGATTTCAACAAAACTTCACAGGACTACGTAAAATTACCTTGCGGTGGTTCTAGCAGCGCCAAATATTGAAAAAAAAAAACAATTGTTTTTGCACAAAATCAATTTGAAAACACGATTAAGAGGCATTAATGAAAGGGGGACAACTCATATCGAGTTATACTTATTAATGTCGAGTTATCGAGTTATACTTATAAAACCCATGTTGGTTGGTTGTTTGTGTGTGTGTGTGTGTGTGTGTGTGTGTGTCTGTGTGTGTGTATGTGTGTGTGCTCGTTTATATATGGGATCGGATTTCCCACATTTTTCAACCTATTTCAACAAAACTTCACTTTTTTGGGCAGGTAGTGTTTCTTATTGTCTTGAACACTTTTTTCTTTATTTTTACATTCAGAGTGCTTTAAAAATTCCATTTACAAGACAATTGTTTATAATAAAATTCTATTCAATCTGTAGACTCATAACGATTGAAATCAATGTTTTTGTTTGAGTTTGAGTTTGACCAATTCGTAAAAAAAAAAGAAAAAAAAAGACTAATTTAGACATGTGTGTCCGTGAACCTTAAACAATAATCTTTATCAATTCTATTTTTCAGTCTTTATGATGGTCGATACTTGATCTATCTCTTACTGTTACATCACCGGGCAATGCCGGGCTCTCCTGCTAGTTATTAATATAAGCATGATTGTGAAGTTGCTTACTATAAGGTATGAAATCTTCTCTAGTCAAACGTCGTGTCTAGGAAATTTATCACCTTGGAGTTAGTGACAGTGGTAACGTTGAGTCCGTGATTGTAACAAAAAATATATTATTAGGTGTTTCCCAAGTCTGTCAGGTTTTTGTGGGTTGGCGTTGCATAGTAGGTCATTCTGTCGTCCCTGTACAGCCCGGTGTTCTCATTATCGAAAATATATCTGAGCCTCCATAGGAGCAATATGCCGACTGGTTCACAGGCTTTTGCGGAGTCAAATGAGCCTCACACACACACACACACACACACACACACACACACACACACACACACACACACACACATATATATATATATATATATATATATATATATATATCATTTGCACCATTTGAATAAGCTCAATACCATTTCTATTTAGACATTAAATTCAGCCACGAAACAATATGAAGGATAAAAGAACTGTTATGATAAAATTCATTTTGGCAGTTATTGCAGTAGGCAAGTCGAAATAAGTCGAATTGAAGAGAACTAACAACGCTGATATTCATTTGGGATTTATATCGTATCTTAAAATCTCAATGAAGAGCCTGTCAAGATAGATGCTCCTGTTGACACGAGTATCATGTAAATATATCCTATTTAGTACACCCGTAGGAATATCTTTAATCTATTAAATAGTTAAAACCTCTTCAGCATATTTACATTCAGAGATCATCTTGATTTATAACTGGTCAGACATGAGCATTTGTCAGCGGCTGAATTTCTTAAACTATGCAATAAATTAGGCGTCTTATAAGGATACGTTTAGATAAAATAGAGGCGGTAGAATGCGGACAAAGAAGGATGGGGCAGGTTAGGTTTCTTTAGATTGATTGATTGAACGCTTCATTCGTTTTTACGGTTAATCAACCTCTTTAAAACCAGAAAATATTTTTAGATTGAAAAAAAATAATTAAAAAAAAAATTTTTGGATATAAAAATGCTTTTTAATTGACCCATAGATGGGTGATAAAAGGTGGCTTCGTCGGTTTATCAAGGGCATTTATGCGTAACAATCCAAAACGGGATTAAAAATCTGTTCTCTGATTAACAATTTCGAGCCATTATCAATTAAACCACCTCACACGCAAGCTTAAAACACCTTGTATTACCAAGAGGTCACACATCTAGGAACTGACCAGACTCGACGTTGCTTAACTTGAACGATCGTATGAGAAACGTTATTTCAACTTGATGTGGACGTAAGTCTTAAAATCCTTTGAAGCGGTTGAGTGATGTAATCTTCGACGTCTGTAAAGAACTCGGTAGATCATAGAAATTAGAAGCATTGAGATCTGACGTAATTATATTTTTTCACAATAATATACATAGCGTCTTATAAGAGGCTGGAGAGTAGAAATTGTGAATCGAATTTTGTATTCTACGATGCTCGTTGAAAAAGTTCTAAGCTTCCTGCAAAATGAAGAGCTATAGCTGAATATTTCTGTGGCAACACACTACCATTTATAAAATTAGAAAAAAAAACTAATTCAGGTTACTGTTTTAATTTCTGTGCAGGTGAGAGCCATACAAATGTGTGACGTGTGCAACAGATCTAAAAATGGACGAAACTGAGGTCCATGCAGCCATAAGGAATCAGCAAAAGGAAGGCGTGACTTCCAAGGAAACACATGGGAAACTGATACAGACACTTGCTTAGGTCTTCACTTTCTAGTGAACAATGAAAAGTGAACCTCGAAGTTTAAACGAGACAGTAAAAACACAGATGACCGTCGATCTGGTTGATCAAAAACCTCATCCACTGATGAACAAGTTGATGATATTCACCGTATACATCTGGATGCCAGATGTTCAGCAGATAGCAAAGTCCATAAGCATTAGTCATACTGTTTTAACTGGGATCTTGTGGATGAGTGACATTTCTGAAAGATCGTTTCCAAGAATGCTGGCACCAGAACAGAAGCTGAAAAGAATTGAGATTTCCAGAACATTTCTGACCCTGAGAATTTCTATCGCAGATTATTAACTCAAGATGAAACCTGTGTTCATCATTTTGACTCTGAATCAGAGATTCAAAGAAAATAGTGGAAAAACCCTGGTTCTCCATTCTCGGAAAATTTCAAGCACGCTCCTGTTTTGTTTTGTTTTTTTAATTTTTGTTTTTTATTCTGAAGGCGTAATCCTGATAGATTATCTGGAAAAGGGCAAAACTATTAATGGTCAGTGCTATGTATCAGAATTAGGACAACTGAAGGAAGCAATCAATTCAAAGCGCAGAGGCAAGCAGAGGGCAGGTGTGCTTTTGCGCCAGAATAACACGCCTGTTCACACTGGTAAGGTTGCAGTGGCCATATCAGCCAACTGTGGCTTTGAATTGCTATCCCATCCCATCTTGCTCATCAGAGTTATCTCCATCTGACTTCCTCTTGTTTCCTATACTCAAATCCCACCTGCGTGGTCACCAATTTGAAAACAATGATGAGATCATATGTTTTGTGGAGGAGTTTTGGGGTGACCGGGACGCCATCTTCTTGCGTGGTGGTATTGCAATGCTTAAGCAACGTTGCACCAAGTGCACTGATGTCAAGGTGTAAGGGTGGGCTATATTGAAAAATATTTAAAAATTGTTTTGCTTTCTTCAACTCCTTTTTTTTTCGTAGCGACAATTTTACTATTGTTGCTTAATCTAACAAGATCATATTAACGGATTTTGGTAACTACTGCATGGATAACTAAAGCAACAAAGAGGGATTGAATTTCTTGTTCAGTTGCTGACAACCTTTCTGTCAACAATTATCACATTCTAGTTAAGAGACAATATATTGTTTCCTAGATTTCAGAGCGCTGCAGGAAGTGATTCCATACTATTCCTAAATCTCTCTAAGATATAAATACCTTTAAATCCCGATGGAATTCGAACTCATTCATTTCCAACTATTATATCCTTCACCTTTACTTCAGTCTCTTTCTATAAGGCGCACTCAAATCGATATTCAATGGCTGTTTGTAGTTACCGGAAACTGGAAATGCGCATATTAGCGACCTCAGCTCCTAACTGAATATCCACTCAGTGTTGATGCCCATTGCATTTCCTCTGAATAACTGTAGACAGCGAGGTAGCGGACGTTATAAGTCTGTTTTTATCTTCGTCCATGTCGGTTAAGATGAGTGAATCCCACACGTTGAAAGCATCTGATTTAGAATCGATAGAGACTTGCCTTCCACTCTTTCTCCTTTCTGTTCAGTTTCTGCCCCGTGAAGGGTGAAGATTGGATTGTTTAAAAAAAAGTTATTATAATAAAAAAAGTTTCTTCCGAGCAAAAACGATCAACCAAACGACTTGTGCTTCTACTTAGAAGCCAGTCTTTTTGGTCCTCAATTACTAGTAACCTGTAATCCCTGACGAATAATTTAACAAGTGACTTGTTATTTATAGTCAATAATCATAATAATCTTCTTGTTCATCCGTTATTTACTAGCACGTTCATTATTTCTGCCATTATATAGGCTCTATTCAGCTGTAGATTTTCAATGAATTCTGAAATAGTAATTATTCTAACATAACATTCCTTTGTTTGGCTTCGTCTTCATTCCCATAAGCAGCAGGCCTGGCACTGTAAGCCTGTTTTAAATTGCCTTTGCTTACACGGATTAAAGTAACATCGATTTAAATATCTGCTTAGTTTCAATAGATCAAGCGCAGGAATTCGCTAAGATTTCACTCTCGTACATTGATTTTTGGAAGTAGATATGTCCTACCCAAAACGGAAATTATGTGCCAGTTCTTTGAAATTTTGTGTTTTCAAAGGGGAAAGTAATCCGAACGAGCAGTATCGATAGGGAAAACGGAGCTAGCATTATCAACAGGGAAAACGGAACGAGCATTATCGACAGGGAAAAAGGAAAGGGCATTATCGACAGGGAAAACGGAATGGGCATTATCGAAAGGGAAACGGAAGGAGCATTATCGAAAACGGAAGGGACAAAAGGAATACGGAGCGGCATTATCGACAGGGGAGACGGAAGGGCATTATTGACAGGGAAAATGGAATGAGTATTATCGACAGGGAAAACAGAACGGGAAACGGAAGGAGCATTATCGACAGGGAAAACGGAACGGACATTCTTGACAGGGAATACGGAGCGAGCATTATCGACAGGGAAAACGAAACGGACATTATCTACAGGGAAAACGGAAGGAGCATTATTGACAGGGAAAATGGAATGAGTATTATCGACAGGGAAAACGAAATGAGCATTATCGACAGAGAAAACGGAATGGGCATTATCGACAGGGAAAACGGAAGGCGCCTTATTGTCAAGGAAAACGGAATGAGTATTATCTACAGGGAAATGGGGAATACGGAAAAACGGAACGGACATTATCGACAGGGAAAACTGAAAATCGACAGGAAAACGGAATTATTAACGACAGGGAAAACGGAAGGAGCATTATTGACAGGGAAAATGGAATGAGAATTATCGACAGGGAAAACGAAATTAGCATTATCGAGGGAAAACGGAACGGAAAACGGAATGGGCATTATCAGGGAAAATGGGGAAATCGACAGGGGAAAACAGAACGGGAAACGGAAGGAGCATTATCGACAGGGAAAACGGAACGGAATTCTTGACAGGGAAGGAGCGAGCATTATCGACAGGGAAAATGGAACGGACATTATCTACAGGGAAAACGGAAGGATTGACAGGGAAATTAATTATCGACAGGGAAAACGAAATGAGCATTATCGACAGAGAAAACGGAATGGACATTAACGACAGGGAAAACGGAAGGCGCCATTATTGACAGGGAAAACGGAATTATCGACAGGGAAAACGGAACGGACATTAACGACAGGGAAAACTGAAGGAGCATTATCGACAGGGAAAACGGAACGGACATTAACGACAGGGAAAACGGAAGGAGCATTATCGACAGGGAAAATGAGAAATAAACAAATTTAACAGTCGACAAAAAAAAATTTCGACAGGAAAACAATAAAAATTAGTAAAAAAAAAAATTCTTCGAAATTATGATCTGTACATTTAAAAATAAATTACAACAGGAATTACTTATTGGTCGATCCTTGCATCTTTGTTATTCTCAGCCTTTGTGGGACGTAGGTTTTCCCGAGGTTCATGTGTCATTACACTAAAGTGTTGAACCAGTCCGTTTTCGTTGCACGCTTGGGCAATCATGTCTCTTTTCAACTCAGGATCATCTAATGGTATTAAAGCATAAGGACATGTATCTAACCCGAGCGGAATTGAAACTGTTTTTCAGTTTCTCATTCCGTATCGTTTATCTATTAAATATCCCGAACAACCCAACCAAGCTTACAGCAACTGGTATTCACACGCGGTCACTCACCTAGGCACTGAGCAAGTTCGTCGTTACTTAACTTCGGGGATCCGACGATAACCGATGTTTCAATGTTATACAACCGTAAGCCACTATCTTTTTTTAATTTGTTCTAAATTAAAATTACTGCCAGATATTTGCTTATACTTTAACAAGGTTTAGGAAAATAATATAATAAAACCATACTGTGAGAACATAGAATGATTTTAACTGGATGCAGGAGACATAATGTATGGTACACTGTCATTCTAAACATCGAAAAATTATGCCGCACTATATATAAACAGGAACCACCAAATGATTTACCATTTTTTATCCATTACTTCTTTAATAAATATTTTTTTAATAAGTTCAAGCAATACGATAACAACACTGAGATGCAAAGAGCTAAGGGTAAAGATTTAGAAGGAACCGGAAACCCAATCCCAAACATAAAACAAAGGATAAACCTCTACTCGTGTTCAAAAAAAAAAAAAAAAAAAAAAGAGTGTGAACCGGGCGATAGGTGAACCTATCTATTTCTATTGAGAAAAGAAAAATAATAAGTAAATAAAATTTCCGAGTTTCAATGGAGACTATATTCGGTGTATATTTGAAGTAAATTTTTGAATGAACAGGAAACTCAATCGCAAACATTTAAAACAAAATTGTGGTCTTGTGCTATACAAATCAAAGGTTAAGAATTGTAAGCTGATCAGATTTTACTGTTCAATTTACCACGAAGCAAACTGAGTAAATCCTTCTCAGATTTTTTCCTCTTATCGACTCGCCACGATACGTTTGTATCTCAGTTAAATTGAATATATACTAAAGTTTTGATCAAGAGAAAAAAGTGGTTCATCCACTAACAAATAAACAAGAGAAATTAAACGGATTACCTCATTGTCCGAGGAAGAGACATAAGTAAATTATGATACCGAGAAAACCAGTTACTCTTTGGTAAGTATATGAAAAAAAAATATATATCGTAATTTTCGGGTTTCGTTACTCTGATCATAAATTCTTGTTAATATACACTGATTATTCCAAATTATCTTTTATTTTCGTAGCCTCTGGATTTCATTGACAGCAAATTAAAAAAAAAAGAAAAAATAGCGAGAGGTCCCAAAAAATCATCAGAATGGGTTGCGATCACTGCTCTCTCCAACTTCCAATGACTTGTGGCTCTTATACTTATTTCTCCTTTTTCCAGGCCTCCTGCCTCCCTTTCACCATCTATTCACACATTATGTAACCAGGAAAACGATATTATTGCAGCGGGTGAATGCTGTATTATCGGGCCGAAGTAGCCGAAAAGGAATTATTTCGAAAGGAAAGTGTCATTCGACCAATTAACGTGCATATATAAATATATGCTGTGGACAGTCACCGTGGATTAATAGCTCCTCAGCCGAGAAAGGAACCCATGTGGAATCGATGCCACGTTGATGCTTTGAGCGTTAGAGGGTATCATATATGATACTAGGCAACGATGAAAAGACTTTTGTCATGTAAAGGTAGTTCTCGTCATTTGAAGCGAATCTGAATTTGGCAATGGAGAAAAATAAAGCAAGCTGACGGGAAAATAATAAGAGTAATCGAAGAGCATTTGACCAGGCTGAAAGGTTTACCGAATTGTCCTCTGACAACTTGACGTAACCCACAAAACAAAAATGGACGCAAATTTAGGAGGGTCGAATAAAGGTGACTGCAAACAAAAGAAAATAAGACGAGCAGAAACAAAAGGAAATTTAATTTTAAAAGTCATTTATTAATACGCACAATGACATACAGACACGCTCTCACACACTCACATGCAGAAAATTACACACACACACACACACACACACACACATACATAAAGAATGCGATGGATAAATTGTCGTCAAAATTACACAATGAGAACAATAGTACTGACATCTCATTTTAACAGATATATTTAACAATATTACAAACATATCTTGAAATACTAACCACCAGAGAAATTCGGAATCTCCTGCAACTCTCCGGGACGGTCTCCTTGTTTAAGATGGAAAATGCTGACATAAGCTTTTCCTTCAGTCCATCTTTGGTGTTACAACAATTTTTGTTAGCCTCTCGCTCAACTGCGCCCCACACGTAATAATCAAGGGCGTTGTAGCCTGGTGAGTTAGGTGTGACCAGATGTAAGCAGTGATGTGGTAGAAGAAATGGTCAGGCAGCCATGGCTGGTTTCTCCTAATTGTATAGCATGATGCGTAGTTCTTTTTCTAGACAGAGGGTCCTCCAGCAGCCGGCACTTTGAGTCAGGCAGCATTACCTCCTCAGGGCACATGATGTAGGGCTCCGTGTTGAGTCTGAGGACCTGTGGGAAGATGCGGGAAGATGAATGGAGTCACCCTAAACAGTTTCGTCATTTAACTCTTTCCGAATACTTTGCACTGTACTCAGATTTACACCTAAACACTCTGAAATGTTCTTATTGGAGCTTCCGGCGTCAATGCCAGCAGTACAACATGCCATTTACACATTTCTGGCGGGGTGAATAGCGTCATGGTCATGGTCCTCTATTACCCAGCGACGGTGCTCAACCGAACATGCGCGAATCTCACCATGGTCGATTTGTCAAGAAGGAGACTTTCTGATGTCAGGGGTCGATCTCAGCGTTCGGCATCTTTGGAAAGTGCCTGAAAACCATACCAGCGGTTGACCCAGGCCTTGTGAGGGAAATTGGGCCCGTCGATAGCTCTGCTAGCACGAAGTCACAAGTCATCGTGGCCGAGGGCTTGAGCGTGCTGGCCTTGTTCAAATTGTTGATCTCGCTAGATGACACGCTCTTTACCAGAAACTGTAACTAAGGTCTGCTGAACAAAGTTGCAGTATAAATACGAGTGGCCAGCTATACTACTACTATATATATATATATATATATATATATATATATATATATATATATATATATATATATATATATATACAGAGTAATAATTAATAATTAAAGCAAAGGTGAGCTCTGTGCCTTTTGAATAAACACACATGCGCGTGAGCAAGCGTCTGCAACAGGGATTGGCTAATCGCCCTATTAGACGGATATCCTAGAATGTGAATGGCCAGCTATACTATATATATATATATATATATATATATATATATATATATATATATATATATATATATATATATATATATATATATATATAGCGAGACGAGTATAGTTTCTTATACTTATAAGATTTCTATTAATAACACACACGCACACAGACACATATATATGTTATAAATAGAAATCTTATATATATATATATATATATATATATATATATATATATATATATATATGTTATTTATAGAAATCTTATAAGTATAAGAAACTATACTCGCTCGGGGAACCTTCGGTGTCTTGATTGCAAATAAACAAGCCAATACCAAAGGGAAAAAAAATGAAAGAACCAAGAACATGTACGTTAGACGAAAATAATCGTCCAGCATGCAAGTCCAAGGCCCAAAGGAAAAAACCTCGATGAGAGTAAGCAAAATAACTAAATAAAGTGCTCACTACAGTAAGTAGAGCAGACCTAGTTGAACCTAGAAAGACAGACAAACGTACCAAGCTTTCTCCTAAGCGGATCGTCAAGGAAGGCTGGCCTTCCGGATCGTCAGAAAGGCCAGCCTTCCCTGACGATCCGCTTAGGTGAAACCTTGGTAGTTTTGTCTGGCTCTCGAGGTTTAACTATATATATATATATATATATATATATATATATATATATATATATATATATATATACAGAGTAATAATTAAGAAAATCTATATCTTGCATATCAATAAACCGATTCTATCTCAATTTCGGATCAGAATTCTTGATCCTTGATAATTTTACAGTGTTTTAATACATTAGAGTAACAACCTTTTCGATGTACTTAGGTTATACATATAACAGTCCTACTCTGACATCAAGGCTTGCATTAATCCTTAACTCGTTCCATTATCATTTCCCGCAACTATATTAAAATCATTAACACTATATTTTTACACTAAAATCATTTTAATTCTGTATATCAAAACTATTAGTATTATATTTCTTTCAGCTTTTTAAGGCCGATATACAAACATCATTATCCTTTTCCACAAGCGACAGACCTTGCTATGTTACTAATGTAAGAAGGGACAGAATGATGAAATTCTCTATGTTTTGCAATATACAATCTGAAAATATTCCATCTATCCAAAAAATATAGCAAAGAAGTCCTTTTATAATTGTAGTTCATAAGTAATTTGCCTGGCAATATTTCACCTTTCAGTTTCTTCTGGTGTTCCTGTTAACAACCATCTACGTTCGCTTTTCATTATTTTTCAAGCGCTAATGAACATAAATAAGACGGTAAAGATGAAAACGTTTTATATATATATATATATATATATATATAAGTAAGGAAGCCTGGATATGTAACTCCCTATATGCCCCATGTTACCTATGCCTTAACGAAAAATTTGAAACTATTAGGTTTAAAAACAAGGCTGATCTTATAAATCAAAGATATGAACTAACTGTTAATTGTAAACACCGTTATAATTTTAATTTAGTGTAGGGGTCGTATACTTTAAATGA